CATGGACTAATATGATATCTGTATTATCTCCAAATAAAATGGCTTTTAAAAAAAGAAAACTGTAGAGGCACATCTGACCTCTTCCTTGCAGCAATTGGCCATGGGCAGTTGTGGCGTTGGTTCTCCTTGTCCCTTGTGTCATCACAGGAGGTGAAGACAAGGCCCCACACCATTTCCTTTACCCAATGCAATACAAACCTCCACTGACAGATGGGTGGTAACCATACATGGGATACAATGGCCAGTATTCAAACTTATTTCTCCTGCGTGTAAGATGGAAGTTCTACCACAGAACCACCAATGCCCTAAAGACTCTTACAACTCAACAATAAGAAGATTATCTAATTAATAATTAGTCATTGGAGTAGTGAAATAAGAAGCACAAGGTGACACTATTTCACACCTATTAGAAAGTTCCCAAACAAAAAATTAACAAAATAGACAATAATGAATGCTGGCGTAGATGTGGATAAATTGTACTCCGTATCATTCCTGGTGTGAAGGCAAGCTGGTACAGACACTCTAGGAAACAATTCGACAGTTTCTCAAAAAGTTCAACACAAAATCACATTGCTGTTATTGTAGTTAGCTGCTATCTAGTCAATTCCAACCCAACACTCTACTTCTATACAACTCCTGAGAGACTTGAAAACATGTTCACATAGAAACTTAAACATGAACTTTATAGCAACTTTACGCATAACAACTAAAACTGGGAGCCAGTTCAAATGCCAATCTGCTAATCAATGAATTAACTCTAACGTGATATATAAATATAGATATATAATATTATTCAAGCATAAAAGAATGAAGTACTACCATGTACCCCACATACACAAAACTTAAAGGAATTATCAAAATAAAGACCACGTACTTTATGATTCCACTATGTGAAATGTCCAGAACGGACAAATCCATATAGACAGAAAGTAGTGCTTTCCTCAGAGATGGTTGGAAACGGGAAGAACTACTAAAAGTATATCTTTTTGAAGGAATAATAAATGTCTATTAATTGGCAGTGTTGGTGGTTACATAACATAGTGAAGATCTAAAAAACGAGTAAATGTACACTTAAAGGATAGTGCTTATTATACATCAGGCTGCTAACTGCAAGTGCAGTAGTTTGAAATCATCAGCTGCTCCTTGGGAGAAAGATGGAACTTTCTATTCCCATTAAGAGTTAACAGCTTGGAAACTTACATTGGAAGCTCTACCTTGTCCTTTAGGGTCACCGTGAGTTGGAATTGACGCCATAACAAGGAGTCTGCTTGTCCGTTTGCATTTTTCCCTGGTTTTGGTACATTTTTTAAATGGTAAACTTTATGTTATGTGAAGTAAATCTCATTTAAAAAATCATAAATATGCTTAATTCTGCCAACTCAGCCAATTTTTTATATTTTTGAGAAAAATGTACTTATACTAATTACAATTTATTTCTTCCTTTATTTAACTTAACCAAATTAGCACTTAAAATAATTTTATATTAGGTCAGAGATTTTTCACATTATCATTTATTAATCTTCAATTATTATGCATCTTAGATTACCATATTTAACTCCTGAAATCTTCACACTGAGTGCATAAAGGGAGCTACTAACTTAAAGGACAGTGGTTCATGCCCACAAGTCACTCCATGGGAGAAAGGTGAGATTGTCTATTCCCCAAAAGATTTAAAGGCTCAGGCGCCCACAGGAGCAGCTCTCCTTCGTCACGCATGTTTGCTTTGAGTCAGAATCACTCTATGGCAGTGTGTGCCTTGTGGAAAGGCACTTCGATTCATTTCAAGTGAAAGTAGCCTTTGAACATCAAACTTTCATCTATAATAATTACTGTCAATTTAAGTTGCTGGTTTTTAGTTTAAGAACCAAATAAAGAGCACTTTTATTTTTTTTTTGCCATTATTTTTTTAATCGTTTTATTAGGGGCTCATACAACTCTTATCACAAT